GTGTATCGCTACACCGTATTGTGGGATATTCCAATTGACATTTATAGATACACAAAATGTTGAAAGCGAGGGACTTAGACCGACTGTTCTAAAAATAGATTTTGCGTTGTGGGACATTTTTCTATATATCCTTATGGGTCAAAAAAATTATTTTTTTTGTTTTTTATGGTAGGAATAGCATTTCCAACATTTCTGTGAAGTTTAGACTACATGGTTTATGGGTCAAAATATAGATGACCCATAAACCACCTAAGGATCCCACAACGTGAGTCTGAGATACGCCAAATATCCCATAACACGCCTCTTGTATAACTATATATATATATATATATATATATATATATATATATATATATATATATACATATATATATATATATATATATATATATATATATATATCACACCTACAGATTGCTTTTATGTCATTGAGCTGCATTAGATTCTGATATTTGCAATTTTACTCCACAGTATCAGTTAAAATTGAGCTAAATTTACAATGCAGTGATAACTTACAAGGACACCCCTTGTGGTAAGGGTCTTCTGCTATAGTAACCTGATCAGGACAACATCCATATTTAGTGTCCGAGCACCCAGCAACTAGATCCGATTTTTCTGTAAGAATTGGTATCAAGGCAACAAATTAACACCAACCGGCACTTTACTACATTTACTACAACTCACACGCTATTCATCATTGGAAATGGAGAAATCTTCAAATGCTATGGAAGAACATTTCCATTAAAAGTTCATTTTTTCTCATAATACTTTCAGATGAATCAGTTTAAATGTAACTTTTTGAACTGTGCCTCAATGTTAATGAGATCATGATATACCTCATTTAAAATAAATTTTAAGTGTAGTATATTGTTGCCCATAATATACAGATTTGTCGTTATCTAAATCCAAGGTTATATCCAAAAGGTTAAGGTCACTAGGAATTGAAATGTTCAGTGTTTGGGTTTTTACTTTGTTACATATGATCCCAATGGATTTAAACTTGTGTGTGGTTTTGTCCACTGCACTGATTTTTTTAATTCTACCCTAAGGTCAAATCTCATTGGTCAAGGTCACTAGGAAAATGTGTATGTGGGAACTTTTCATGCACCTATTTCAAACATTTCTATGCTATTCCTCTGGCCTCAACCAAAAGGTGTCACCTTGATTGAAGGTTATATCTCAAAAGTCAACGTAAGTACATAAATTACAGCTTTTTCAATTATATATAATGTCATAAATCTTGAAATAAGGCAAAATGTGTCAATTAAATGTCTAGAATACTTCATGGTAGTTTTGAGCATAACTGTACTTGTCAATTTTCATTCAGGGACATCTTGTCACAAGTATGGATGAGAAAGTAGGTCACATCAGTATTTGTTTGTACTCACATTTTTCTTTTGAAATCATTATTCACATCAATCTATCCTTACACACATAAATGAATTGTTCAGTTACCTTCTCGGCAACATTTCCCGTATTTAAGATGACAGTAACTGTTGGCGGGACACAGTTCTGAGGAGCAGTTATAATCCCAACCTGTTACTGGGTTTACCAGGGCAGCACTACCGTCACAAGCCTCCTCCAATAAATCTACAATTACAAACTCAGCTACAGTGATCCTTCAATAAGAAGTACAGTTGTACATTTAAAAATAAATTTTATTAACAATCAACAATGTTTAATTTATAATCACTTATACAATGCACCATGTCTACAAAAATATAGTCTTCCAGCTAGCTCAAAACAAGTCACTTTTCTACGTGGCTTACAAGTATTTTAAAATTAAAAAAATATATAATTACCACATTTATCTCAATTCAGAAAATTAAATTTAATTTAGGGTATCTTCATTCTTATTCAAAGCTTGAATGCAACTGATATGTTCCATTAATGCTGTGGAATGTTATCAATTTCCATGTCTTAATTTATCATGTTACTCCATTTCCTTCTAACACTATAGAACAGTGGCAGATCCAGAAGTTCTTGTTGGAGGGTTTTGAGGCCCGTAGGGCTGAAGGGGGAGGGCTTGGGAGGAGGTGTCCCCCTCCCATAGGTGGGGGTTCGGGGGGCCTCCCCCGAGAAGTTTTCTTAAAAAATGGCTCCAAATGGTGCATTTTCCAGCATTTTAGATTGAATGAATTAGTTTTTTGCCACTTGTTTTTCAAGACCGACCTACCCAAATTTTCAAGAATTTGAACAAAAAATAAAAATTTTGAGATTTATTTTTAACTTCCATGTAAACATGAAAAATGAGACTTTTCTAAAAAAAAAAAAAATTCAATCAATCAATGTAAAATCTGATCAAATTAGAAATATCGCCATTTGATATATAATATTGAATTCTTTATTTTAAAACGCACGTTCAATGTGTCGCATGTGAAGCTCTGACTACCAAAATACAACTGATGTGCATTTTCCCAACACTTAGAAAATTTGGATTCTGTGTAGAAACCCTAATTACTCTTTTCAACTACTTGACAATACTGTTCATATAATTTGCAATATAAAAAAATAATGGTATTTCGTATTGAAGAATATATATAAATTATTTTGGGAAAATGTTGGAATTATTGCTTATTCATGGGGGGGGGGGGGGGTTTAATTATAATTTCTAACATAAATGCACTCTTTAATTCTATTTTTATTTTTACCCACTTACTAGCCCAATGTTTGAAAAAAAAGTTTTGAAAGTTTTGAAGGGTCTACTTTCCCAGTATAGTTATGTCATGAAAATATTGTATCAGGGATGTTTATACTATAGTATATAGTATACATCCCTGATTGTATTAATTAATTTTTTTCCAAATAATAATAATCACAGTTTATTCAAGTAGTTCAATAAAGTAACATTCAATTATCGAAGAATGAAAATTCATGTTAGAATATTACTTAACCAATACCAAAACATAACGTAATAACTATGTGCAGTTTTGGTTGTTAGTGTATGACCTTGTGTCATCACTAGCAGCACGGACTATCATGATCTCTGTACTGTTGATTACTTGTGTATATACTGTGTGCGCTCAAGCGGAATGGGATTTCTCGTGGTGGCTGTATATTTCATCTCTTTGTGTAAAACAGTGGGCTTGGATAGAGCCTCACTTATGAAAGATATTGTTAAAATGGCACTTCTAAAAAAAATTTTTTTGATTGGGTGGGTGGGGGGGGGGGTTTCCCGAACCCCCCCAAACCCCCCTGAATCCGCCACTGTAGAACATATGAATATTTATAGTGGCTGATTTTGCATTGTCAAGCTTACAACAAACTAAATTTTTTACCTTATAAGAAAATAATTCACAGCTGTAGATAGATATAACAAATTATGGCTATAACAAGGTATGCCATCCTTGACAATTCATTTGTGTTTTACTGCTATTATTGCTTTTCCAAATTACCATAATTACAGGGCTGCTTTAAACACAAAATAATCATGATAATGTGATCACAAATCTGCTTTTTCTTCTGTTGTTACTGTTGTTGCTAGGCAGCTTTTTTTCACTGGTTGACAATTATTATTACAGTACGTAATACAATATAATTGCTTTTTCTTTTAAACATGAATTCTTACAACACTAAATTAATCCTAGTTTCAATTAATTACAATGCTCGTTCCATTTCTTGATGATGCTTTTAACATCAGTTACCATTATAGTGCTCCTTTGTGCACGGTTACATTATTATAATGCTTTTACTATTAATTACCCTTATCAAGATGCCCAATTTATGTCAATGGTCAACCATTATCACTACTTCGCTTTAATACCTGTATTATGGCCCCCTACCATTGATTTTTCTTCTTATTTGACATACCATTGCCACAGTTTTCTGGATTCACAGCAACAATAGATTTGCCTGCTTTACAAGCTGCTTCTTGCATTTCACACTGGTTTCCATGGGTTTGACCATCAGATCCACAAACAGGGTCTCTACAGGGTCAAATATCAAAAAATATTATTGAACATAATTTAATAGAACTTGGAATATTATGACCAACATACCATGAATACATTGTAAAAAAGATGGTTACCTCACAGCAATACAGCCAAAGTCACACGTACATCTATGTGTACCATCTGGGTACGGCAGACATATCCCACCATAGGCACACAAACTGTCATCACACATCAATAACCTCGAAAACTCCTCCTCCCCAGAACCTTCCATGCCATCTGACCAATCACAGAGTGTCTTACAATAGCATGACAATATTCAAACCTGACCAATTACACAGTGTCTTACTAAACAGCATTCTTTCAAATTTAACTTTAGCAACACAAGTTTAAAGGAGATATATTTACAACATTCAAAATCCATGCATTTTCTAATACATTTATCAATGCTACATCTGACACTGAGGAATAGCCAATCGGAGACCAGTTTACCTGTTAATCTCTGGAAAATACTCAATGCAATGACCATTTTGACTGACACAAATATTCAAAGAAGCTTAATTTAGAAGGACCCTGCCTTATTTTTGAGAGAGACAGATTCCCTCGCAAGAAGCATGAGAGTTAACAGGTATACTTCTGTGAAACTAAAATATTGAAATGTGCATCTATTTGAAACATCATTCCTGACTATTAACAAAACCTTCAATTTCACCCAAAATTTAAAAAAAAAAAAAGAATTTGAAAGTGCTTCATAAAATAACATTTCACATAGCAACTCTTCTAGAAACTGAAAAACTTTAGAAAAACCAAGTTTCCCACATGGAGTGTTTGAAAAATTTTTCCAAAAATGATTTAACTGCATAATGACATGAGCTTGATTGACATGTAATGGTGTTATAAATAGTAACAAGTTACTGAAAACTCTTTAAGTTGACATAAAAGTAGACAATCATAATTTTACACCAAATTATGCTATGTGTATCTAGCTGCTTGCAAATACGTGGGTTCTAACATATGGCAAGCAGCACAAAAAGTTTGATACAACTGATGTGAGAAACCTGGTTTAGGATCAGACAACATGTATACCCCCAGATGCCCCCGATCCAGAACCTTCTGTCAGGCACTCCCCAATCGTGTAGGTCAGCGAGATCTGCTGCTGACACATGTGTTTCTTCAGCTCACATTCGTTATAGAACTCCTGACCATCAGATGTACACACTTTCTTCTCCATGCTGGGACAAATTTGGCCACACTGACAGACACCATTTATACACTGACCATAGTACAGACAGTGATAGTCCGATTTACAGCCTGTCAAAAGAAACATAAGACATCACACACTGACAGACACCATTTATACATTGACCATAGTACAGACAGTGATAGTCCGATTTACAGCCTGTCAAGAGAAACATAAGACATCACACACTGACAGACGCCATTTATACATTGACCATAGTACAGACAGTGATAGTCCGATTTACAGCCTGTCAAAAGAAACATGAGACATCACACACTGACAGACACCATTTATACATTGACCATAGTACAGACAGTGATAGTCCGATTTACAGCCTGTCAAGAGAAACATAAGACATCATTCACTGACAGACACCATTTATACATTGACCATAGTACAGACAGTGATAGTCCGATTTACAGCCTGTCAAGAGAAACATAAGACATCACACACTGACAGACACCATTTATACACTGACCATAGTACAGACAGTGATAGTCCGATTTACAGCCTGTCAAAAGAAACATAAGACATCACACACTGACAGACACCATTTATACATTGACCATAGTACAGACAGTGATAGTCCGATTTACAGCCTGTCAAGAGAAACATAAGACATCACACACTGACAGACGCCATTTATACATTGACCATAGTACAGACAATGGTAGTCCGATTTACAGCCTGTCAAAAGAAACATAAGACATCACACACTGACAGACACCATTTATACATTGACCATAGTACAGACAGTGATAGTCCGATTTACAGCCTGTCAAGAGAAACATAAGACATCACACACTGACAGACGCCATTTATACATTGACCATAGTACAGACAATGGTAGTCCGATTTACAGCCTGTCAAGAGAAACATAAGATATCACACACTGACAGACGCCATTTATACATTGACCATAGTACAGACAATGGTAGTCCGATTTACAGTCTGTCAAGAAAGACAGCATAAGAACAAATATATGGCACAGACATGCAGTTACCGAGACACAATTACAAATAGAACTGAACAATAAAACCTCCATTTTAATTTTCAGGGGCATGAAAATCTAGAAAGCACAAAATCTGTATGTGACAAACAAGTGTAGGGGTGAAGGTAGGTATAGTTCTCTGCACTTTGAATTATCAATGAATAATTATTCCATTCTATATTTGTTGCATTTTTTATCTAAGTAACTAAATACTTATTCAAATTACTATAAAAAAAAAAAAAATTAACATAGTTTTTCCAGTTAGAGTCATTTTCATTATTTTCTCCCTCGTTTCACTCCTCCGAAAATAAATATTTTCTTGACTAATTTATTGAAAAACAAAGAAAAAGAATATATTGTAGGATTGTAGCGTTCGTTACAAATCGCTTTTTATTAATAACACAAATCAATTATATAATTTTTACAAAATAACAATGCAAGGGCTGGGCGGGCAGGGAAAGCCAAAGACACAAAACGACCTGCGATTCTTTGTAACGAACGTCGCATGAATTGAACATTACCCAGTAAATGTATTTATACTGAGCACTAAATCGCTCGTGCATGAAAAACCAGTATTCTTAAGATACGAAAATTCACGGAAAGTACCGAATCTAAAAACGTAAAGAAATAAATATATGTTACCTTTCGGTTCACAATCCACGACTTTCAGTTGCCGTCGATTTTGACACACATTCCTCTCCATCTCACATTTGTTGTTAAATCTCTGTCCATCAATCGTACAGACAGGGGGACCTGCGGAGGAGCAGAACGCGTCACACTCACAACGACCATACATACACTTAGAGAAGAACTGACACTCCTCCTGGCATGTTGCTGAAATAGACGATACCACTTATATCATACAATACCACTTATATCATACAATACCACTTATATCATACAATACCACTTATATCATGCAATACAACTTATATCATACAATACCACTTATATCATACAATACCACTTATATCATACAAATCAATATAACTTATACAAATTAAAAATTGCAGAGTCAAAATGATATTCCTAATCATATGTTACTACATTAGCAAAGTAAAAAATAGCTTTGGTTAAAATACCTATATACAGAATGAGTAACCACACAATGATGAACTTAAACATGACGTCACTCATACACTCACTTTGGTACATTTTACTTATTGCATTCTCCCACTGATGTCATAGAGATAACCCCCCTCTCTTTACATGATGTCACCTACATCATACACTCACCGTCCTACATTTTACTTACTGCATTCTCCCACGGATGTGACTGAGATAACTCTCCTCTCTTTACATGACTTCACTTTCATCATACACTCGCTGTCATAGGTTTTATGGTCACTGCCACAAATTTTTGAGTCAGCCTGTAAAATGTACAAGAAATACTGTAAGCCAACTTGTATACATATGCCAGAAATATCTGATTCACTGATTCATCTAAAGCAACTTTAGCTCACTCTAAAAGGTGTAAGAATAAGGAAATCTTGATCGTAAATATATTTTATTATGGTCTGATTTCAACTGGAAATTCTTGAATGAAATATTCTATGAAAAGAATGGTAGTTGATTTACAATATTATAATCAAGCACCAAAACTAATCAGGTTTCTTTAAAAGAGTTTACAAAATTGCTAAGGTATCAAAGAGAACAATCAATACATTTTAAGGTTACTCGGAGAGAGGTAATAAGTAAGGCTTACTCCCCAGCAGTCCGAAGGATCAGGACACATACACCGAGCAAACTGGCCATTTCCGTTACAAACTCCATAATACTCACATGCCCCTTTCAGGTCCCCACATCCATCTTTAGCTACAAAGCAAGTTGTTATGATTACAAAAGTAGTGGAATTTTTATAATTTTATCTTTTATTTTAGTAGCTGTAACTAATGCATTTTCTCTATTTTCCAATTAACACCTTTTCTTAATATGTCCATAAATTAACTCCCCTTTTTTCCCCATTAACATCTATCTATTATTTCTAACTTGATCCTTCTTTTTATTCTCCAAATCACCTCTTCTTCCTATTTCCCCTTCAGCCACTCTTTCTCAATTTCCCTATAAACCCTTCTCCATGAACCCTTTTTCTCTATTTTTCCTACATTTTTAATACACCCCCTTTATTTCTTTATCAATCCCTCTCTTAGTAAATACTTTACTCCACCTCTAATCCTCATGAATTTATTCTCTCCATTCTCCTATTAACCCTATTCTCTTGTATAAATCCTATTCTCTTTTTCCCCATTAACCCATTCCCCCTATTTCCCCATTAACCCATTTCCCCTTTCCCCCTATTTCTCCATTAACTCATTCCCCCTATTCCCTGTACTTTATCTTTTTGTCAAGGCCCCCAATAAGAGGTGCCAGGAGGCAATTTATCACTGTTTCAATGATCAGAATTCACTGCTTCAAATTTCATAATTGGTAAAATAAACTACTAGATATAATTCTAAAATAGCCTCCTCAAATGGATAAATTCACTTCTTCACTTTAATATCATTTAAAACCCTGACTCCAATATTAATGTTTTCTCTCTATTCCCCATGAACCATTTCATCCATTTTCCCATTAAACCCATTCCTTCTATTTCCCCATTAATCCTTTCTTCCTACTTTCCTATCAAACCCATTCCTTCTATTTCCCCATTAATCCTTTCTTCCTATTTTCCCATTAAACCCATTCCTTCTATTTCCCCATTAATCCTTTCTTCCTATTTTCCCATTAAACCCATTCCTTCTATTTCCCCATTAATCCTTTCTTCCTATTTTCCCATTAAACCCATTCCTTCTATTTCCCCATTAATCCTTTCTTCCTATTCAACCTTCTCAATCCCCCACTACCCTTTATTACTCACCACAGTAACCATAATGTTGTAGATTAATGATGTTGTCAATTCCAGTTGTACAGTTAGCCTTCTGTAATTCACACATATTGTCATAAGACGCTCCATTGCTGCCACAGACCTGACAACACAGAATATTACAATCAAAGTACTGAATGTACTGAAACTCAAGCTGCATCATTCATGTTTCCAGTGGCAGGTATTTAAGATGTCATATGTTAGAATTTCAGAAAATTTCAAAATATTGGTCTACGTGTTCTAATCAATATTTTTTTAAACAAAAATACTTTAGCATTTAAATGTAGAGTTGCAGAAAATTGTAAAACTTTACTGTTTTCACTCTTCCAAGTTTTACTGAGGTAAACTTACAGGTTTAAATTGCTCCCCCAGACAATTTTTACACGGCTTGTCCATACACACCACTCGGCCATTCTCCTCCACACATCTCTGATGTTGACCACATTGTTTGGTATGACAAGACTCTGGTATAGGGGCTACAAAAATGGGAGATAAAATTACAACAGGCCAATAGGCAACAATGCTCACCTGATTCACATTGTCCTGGGTAAAATAGCTATGTAAAAAGATCCTTTACAGTCACCCTTAATTATCTCAAAGGTCCTCTAAAGTAAGATGGACTAGAAAACTGACCAGTCAGCAAGGGCCCCGTTGAGGGGAAGAAATATAAGGGTGCAGCTTACAGAATGAGAATTTTAATTGATTACAAAAATTAAAAAATATATGAAGAAGAATATGCAATAACAACTGTATTTATAAAATTTCAAGATAATTCCTAAATATCCAACAACCTGTAAAGAGTATCCCTGTATTTACATAAGGCAGTAAAAAACATCACATCTATAATAACTCAATTAAATGTATATTTAAACAAGAAAAAAGCATGTGTTTTATAAAATGCCAGTCTCAGTGAATGCAAATACAGGTAAACTTCGGTATCTCGACATCGGATATGTCGACAACCTGGGATATGTCGACGTCCATCCGCGGTCCAGGCAGTATTTACTATATAAATGATTTGCAAAAACTCTGATATGTCGACCTCGGTAATCTCAACAACCCTGGTTATCTCGACGTATATTCACAGTCCCAAGAGCAAAATTTACCTGGTATATGTCGACATCGGCAATTTTCTGCTCCACTGAACCTAACTGTTTGTCAGATTGGGTCGCTCGTCACGCGCGGACGGCTCCGGGTATCTCGACGTCGTCAAAAATTCACACCTTTCACACCCATGTTATGACTGCATGCTGCTTAATTAATTCGATAGACTGTGTTTGTAGGTGAATCCAAAGCCCCCTCGGCGTCTTTGAGACGTTAATTGCTTAATGTTCAGTTTGGGTAATATCACTGATAAATCTACACGATTCTGCTTAAATTTGCAGGTGTTTATTTATGTCGAAACCTAACATAACTTTTAAAATTGAAAAAGATAACTAAATTACAAAGAATAAGAAACATATTGAATAAATTCAAACTAAAGAATTGATTAACCGAATCATCCGTAATTCATGCATCTGTAATATCACTACATTAGTTTAGATACACAAATCTCTTAAAAAAATTAATATTAATGCACATTCTTCCTGAATGAAATAAGAAGAAAAAAATTACGCATTTAATATGTTTTCGTTTCTCGGATGTCGACTTTATCATGTTTATACGGTTCGGTTCGAAGTTTATAGAGCGCTATTTCGTATCCTGTTCTGACAAAAAAGCAAGTAACATGCGAATGCTGGATGGAAAACTACAAAAATTTAGAACGATTTCGATAAAGAGAAAGAACATGCTTTATAAATAAGATTTTTAAAAATAACTTCTTAGATTTTTAATAAAAATAGAGGGATTGCTGAAATAAGTTGACCTACAGTCTATATTGAAGTCATGTACGTATAATAAGCTTATACACATGTATGTGTTTGGTTATGCAGTGAAATCTTGGACGTCAAGTCTCAACTCTGATATCTCGACACCTCGGATATCTCAACATTTTCCGATGGTCCCGTCGATGTCGAGATAACGAAGTTTACCTGTATCACCCAGGCTTGACCTTAACTTCAAAACAAACATAAGTTGCAAACAAAGGGTAATTTATCTTAAAGTGACAAATAAAGATAAGCCTAGAAAATTTTCTGCCCCAGACAAGATAATTAATCCCAGGGGATTAATTGTACTGCTCTTTCATCCTTTTCTTCCAAGTTTTACAATAAGAACTTTTTCAGTAATGATAGAATGAGTTTATTATCGGACTACCTGTTAAAATTAATAGTACATGTATTCTTGAATTTACATAAGGCAGCAAAAAAATTTTCTTTAAAAAATGAATAAATAAATAATAAAAAAACATATCTTGATGTATATCTTGTCTTTGAGAATTCAATAAAATCATAACTCATCGTGTATTTAACCAAAATAAAGTATGAACATTATTTAAATCCACATTTCAGAGAATGTAAACATCATTCAGAATTGACCTTAACTTCAAAACAAACTTCATTTGCAGACAGAGGTGTTAATTAATCTCAATTTGACAGAAACAGATAATGCTTTGGATTTTCTTCTAGAGGAAAGTTAATTAATCCCATGGGACTAGTTGCAGCTTTCATAGTTTACAATAGGAACATTCTCAGCAGTTATCTCTCTTTGCCCTGGCATTCATTCTAATGTAAAGTTTAGGAATCTACCCCACCACCCCAGCTCCAAACTGGATGACACAGAGAACCAAACTTAGCATCAAAATATGTCTTACTGCCTCTTCAACCAATATACCAAATTTGAACTTAATTGGTCAACTACAAAAAAAGTTATTAGAAAAAAACAGAAAATTTGTGGATGGAAGAATGACAGACAGACAGACAGCTAGACAGACGGACAGACAGACAGAGTGATTACTATAGGGCACCCGCAAATCCTTGTGGGGCCCTAATAAATAAAAACCTAGCATGATTTTCAGATTTACCACATGGTCCATCCTGTATCTTGTTGATTAATTTTCCACTCCTACAGGAATGTTTCCTAAGTTGACACTCGCTACTGTAGTTCTGTCCGTCAGACCCACACACTGGGTTAGGACCGGTGTCGGGACACTCTGGTTCACAGTCACAAACTGGCTGATTCCGGTTGTCAATTCGACATGAACCGTAATAACATCTCACAGAAGCACAGGGACCTTCCAAAGAAATGAGATTTATATCATTAAACTTAAAGGCTTAAGTTTGTCAAAATTTATCTAACATTATAATCAATAGTTAAAGGACCATACGTATGTGCATACAGTCAATCATAATTTTAAGGAGATCTAAAAGTAAGGTAAACTTTAAATAACTTTTTTTTTTATCTTTCTGCTTTGGATGTTTTTTTTTCTTCTTTGAAATATTGAATTTTAATTCTATTTCTGACTTAATTACTTTAATAATTTACTCTAAACGAAACAGTATTATTCTTAACATATCTTTCATTTAATACTTTGGAAAACTACATATTTTGGAATACATGTACTTCTTTTCAGAAAAATCACAAGAACATTTATTTATTGTAAGTAAGTTCTCTTATTTAAGAAATGTGATCTATCATAGAGTTCCTAAAAATGTTTTAAAAACAAAATTTAATGATGAAAGACTAATTTTGCCCAGTGTTGCAATGGAATACTTGTTCACTAAAACTAATTCAGTGCAAAAATTTGTCCCAGATACAAGGACAAGTGATTTTTTTTTAACAAAATTTACAAAAATAAAAGCCACAACATTTATAATCTTGATGAAAATACACACACATATGATTAAGCCATATTTGATGACCTATTATTCACCTTCCCAATCACTGCTAAATACTTGTGACAAAATCCTCATGTATTTTTTAACAGTCAAGTATTCACTCACAGGTTTACCTGTGTTATAATACTGACATTATCTAATGGTTTACCATACACTTCTGAACATACTGACATTATCTAATGGTAAACCATATATTCCTGAATATCTAATGGTTTACCATATAGGGTGAATTCACCATGCATCAGACACCCTCGCACTTCAACAAGTTCTAGCGATATCGCTACCGACCGAATACTACCAAAATGGAACTTGACATGTAGTATGTGGTTAAAATATAAATTTTTGACACAATCTTGCCATATTTATTAAGAAAATATCATTAAAAACTGACTTTTCCGAAATAAGTCAGAATTCACCATGGATCGGAAAATATTCACCATGCATCGGACATACAATATTTAAACCAGAAAAATATTATACTTTGATCTCGGTGCTTTGAAATTAGTGAAATCGAAACATTATTTTATTTAAAAATTAACCTTCTAGTTAAATTTGAATGACTATTTCGATTCACAAATGTGAAGAGATTTTAGTTGCATCACATCGCCTTAGAAAGGCTTTACAATGCTAGTAATATGGCAACTCGCACCTTTGTCTTGTGGGTTATCATCATCTAGTTTAAAGAAATAAATTGAGTCCACTTCTAGTCATCATATGTCGATAATTTGTATTTTCACTGAAAATTTAGAGTTCCCAGTGTTTTCAATAAGATTTTCAATACAAGGAAATATACTTGGAATAGCAGGAAACCAATCTCGGTGGGGGGTTTGGGGGCCGCATCAGGCCCCAAACGGGTCCAGGGCAAAGCCCTGGTGGGGGGGGGGGGGGGCCCGGCCAAAAACAAAAATTAGATTTTTTGACTAATTTTTCTTACCTCTCAGGCCAATAAAAAGTACCATGTTTTTTCACATTTCGGTCACTATCAATCATCAAACTTTACCTTATAAAGCCATTTAAAATTAAAGGTAATTACTTTTCCTGTATTTCAAGAGATCTAACACAAATAAATGAGAATATAAAGTTTACATTTTCAGTTTGAGGAAATTCTGTTAGAATTCCTACGTCTTGGCCACAATTAAAAAATTAAGACTTTATTTGTTAGGTCTAAAAATTTGACATTTTCAGTTTGAGGAAATACTGTAAGAATTCCTACGTCCTACGTCTCAGTCAGGATTAAACAATTAAGACTTTTATTCGTAAGGTCTATTATATCAGCCTGGATATAAATAATTGCTGTTGTGTTAATCTTGACCTAACTTGTGCAGTGACAGTGAATAAAAAAAAAAAACATTTATTTTCCTGTTCAACATTTTAGACCAGCCGTAGATACATGATGCTTCTGTCAATGAATCCCCAAATTCTCAATAATCTTGGTCATATCCTGTAAAGCTTTAGTTAAATCACAATCATTGAGTTGTGAATTTTATATGAGGTTGGAATTATTCATTAAAAAAATTATTCTTTAAACTTTATTCTCGCAAGTTGTAGCTGTAGCCTTGTTTAGTAGTTGTAGTACCGTACTTATTGGATCAAACCAAACTTTAATGAAAAAGAGCGCACTCAAGGGAAGTTACTCTAGATCATGTAGTGATTACATTCGTGATAAAAATCTACGGATTTCATGTACAAACTCCGGCAAAATCCCAGTGACGGAAATTTAATAGCCGGCAAAATTTCTCATACAGGCGGTTAATTTTGCCGGTTGCCGGCTCTTATTGAAAACACTGGTTCCTATTTTTTAGTTCCGTAAAAAACAGCTGTCACTTGGGTTTTACATGAAAATGGAAGTGATTACCCATGCATCGGAAAGTGTCCAATGCATGGTTAATTTGTGTCCGATGTACGGTGAAATAAATATACTAGTTAAAAACAACTCTATAAAATATTATACACACATTGAGGTAAAATTTTTGAAAAATTTGTGTAGAATCATCAATCATTGACAAATTTTACGCCGGTCCGACCCATTCCGTTGACGTCTATTTAAAAGAATGACAACTTTAAAAATTGCAAAATCGTAAAATTCTGGTTATCCCCTTTGATGATGCAAAATATGACGTAATTTCAAGGCCATCCTTGTGGTATTTTTATCACAACATGAAAATAAAAATCAGCATCATTAAAAAGTTTAATTCTTCACCTTTAAGACAGAAACAAGTAAAAACACAGGGAGACTCAGGTTCAATGAAAGTTTATTGCTTAAAGTTGTCCGAAGCAATGTATGTGTCTGATGCATGGTTAACTCACCCTATTGAATATACTCCTAATCTAATGGTTTACCATGTACTGAATATATTCCTCATCTAATGGATTACCATATACTGAATATACCCCTCATCTAATGGTTTACCATATATTCCTGAATATACTCCTTATCTGATGGTTTACCATACATCCCTTATGTCATGGATTACCATATATTCCTTATAGCATGGTTACATTTGATCTTACCATCTCTGCATTACTTCTCCGTCATTGGTTTACAATCATCAACATCCCTCCATTTACTGGTTTACCATATTTTATAGCTTCATTGCATTATTACACCTCTCCTATTTGCTTTACCATTTTTCCATTACACTTTCAATGGTTTACCATTATTGCAATACTCATCTATTGCATTAATAATTTTACTTCATGCCTCTTCAATTCATTAATTTATCCCTTTCTCATATTAAACTCTACTAACACAATCTGTTTACTATCATTACAAAGTAAATATTTAAACAGCAAATTGAATGAATAAAATACAACAATGCAAAAGTTACAACACCTCAAAAAACATTGCTCTACCCCAAACTACATGCAGGAAAACACTAAGTAATGGTCATTATGCATAAGAATTAGGTACATCAAAATCACACACAAGACATTCACTGAAAAAGAATTTCAAAATGATTTTAAAAGTTATGCCTAATGTTTCATATATATCTACATGATAAAGTTAGTGAGGGCCTAACTCTGTGCTGATGAGGGAGTAGGAGGGAGGGGCTCAATACTGCTACTGTAACAGGTCCTCTATAACAGGTGCTCTATTCTATTTGTGCTCTTCAAAATCGTGCTGACATATGCCCCTCAACAACGTTTATGGCAAGAGACACGTATGATGCCTCAATCTGACAGAATCTTGGAATAACTAGTAACCATACCATACTGATTAGAAAATCAACTGATGTTCAGTTCGGAATCCCTATTTTTTCATGAGAGTATATATATATTTATTTATTTAGCCTAAAAAACCAAGTCTGTGTAATTACATTTTTTTTATACGAGAAAATCAACTTAATTCATTTCAACAGATTTCTCCATAATTTTAAATTTGACATAGTTTATTACTGTAAACTCATGATCATTGTAAAGGATTACCGATTCCTTTCCGTACATAATTCTGTCAGACCAGCTCATACACACGAAGCTGAAACAACACATGATTATCTCACCCTCACTCATTGGTTTATATTCACCATCAATCAGCTGATCTAAAATCAGTTTTATACTCAAATTGTAACATAGTTCTTTTGCAAACTATTCTAAGCCAAAAAAAACATATGTAACAGAGAATAATCAAATGTTTCCATCAAAATCATTAATCACATTATTACATAAAAATATTTAATGACAATCTGGAATAATTCTATATAACCTCATTTTGCCAAAAACATGATGTTAAAAGTTATTCAGAGCACAAGTCTGTATTCTATGACCAATGTCTTTATTTCAGTTACTATGCTGTCTTAGGAAGAGATGGGGAAATTGTTCTTGTTTTCCAGTATGCAATAATAGTCTTTGAAATATATCTACGCTAATACAGTGTATAACTAATTACATAAACAAGTTTTGTCTTGAACGTGAGAACTGATCAAAACAATTAACATAGAGAAACAATAGGTCACTTTAAAAATTCATACTGATTGTTAGAACAGTCAATAATCCTCTATAAAAATATAGCCTGAAGTCAGTCATATTAAATATATATCCATGTTTGCTTTTCAACTCATGCAAAGTTAAAATATGCCATTTATAAAGAATACATAGGACTTCACACACGGACACAAATTGACAGAATTTTATTGATACAACAATTGTACTTCTGGCAAACAACAGTATATATAATATAGGGTACAAAATACAAATTTACCATATATAATGGAATAGGAAAGACCTTAATGTACAACATGTGTATATATATATTTTTAATGAAAGCGCTAAAGCTTTACGGAGGATTCTTGTGTTTTCTTTTTATATTTGTTTAATATATATATATATATATATATATATATATATATAGAAAGCACAAAGAAATTCACTTTTGCAAGGATACCCACTTCCGCCCCAGCCCGGGGTTGAACTCTCGACCTACGAAATCTGTCTCCTAGCAGTACAGGAACAGCGCGCTAGACCGCTCGGCTATCTAGGCAAGTCAAAAACTTGCTTTCGATGCCGATGGAATTCTCGCGGCGCTGCCCTACACTACACGGTCATTGAGAATGGAAGTGAGATACAGTTATTTTGGGCTGGGGCGGAAGTGGGTATCCTTGTAAAAGTGAATTTCTTTGTGCTTTCTATATTAATATTTCTTCACTTAGGGCAGTTATGTTAGTTTAAGAGTTGTTGTAAAATGTGCTTTATGTATATATATATATATATATATATATATATATATATATATATATATATATATATATATATGCATGCCCAAAAAAGTCATAGAATCAGCAATCCATAACTTGTTTTGATTCAACTGAGACTGTGTGTTTCCTTTAGACTTCGAAAATGTAATCCTGTTGGATTTTTTCCATCAAATGTTATCTTTCCATTAACCATTAACATGTTCCAAAAAGGTATTCTTATAATGAAGCAACACTGACACTGACATAAATAATTATGTAATAATCAGAAAGTGATTTCTTTAACTTTTACAGTAATTATTATTAATCTTGCAAAAAAAAAGATACCAAGGCTTTATCTTTTGACAAATGCCAACTTATACTAATGCAAAGATGTGGAGATTTTCCCCTAAAAATTTACACTTTTACATATTTATGCTATATCATCTTTTTTTACTTATACTGCCAGCACTCAATATAATTTATCTGCCCCTTAATTAGGACAGTACATGTACTTTGACATGACTTAATTAGGTCAAAAGCTTGGCAGGAGGACTTAAAGGTGCTTAGACACAGATTTGAACTTAATATTTTCTCAAATTTTCTGTATAATATCACGCCTTATATATTGCAATAGCATTTCACACGAAAATATAATTAAAAACTTATTTTATCTGGATATTATTGGAACTACGAATTCTGGGACGTGTTTGATTAACACATCTTTGCACTTACACAGATTTTAACTTTATCCTTAATATTTAAGAAAAGAAGCGATTTCGTTATGTATTAATGAAAAATATTACATCTATAATCCAGAAAATTCAGAGTAGAAATGTTCCAAAGCAAAACCATCTCACCAGTATTGTCAGTCCATGCTCTGTGATGTGTACAGAGTTTAACAAATTGAACACACCCGTGAAATGTAAACTGTTTTTGTAAACAGGGCACGAGCTCTGTTATTGTTAATGTTTACGATTCACCAGGTGTGTTCAATTGATAAACTCTGCACACACCACTGAGTACGGACTTACAATACTATGAGTGGGTTTTGCTTTCGAGCATTTCTACTCTTAAATTTCTTGGTTATAGTTTTCATATTTTTCATTAATACACAACAAAATTGCCACTTTTCTAAAGAATTAAGAATAAAATTAAAATATGCGAAAGCGCAGGGATGTGTCAATCCAACGCGTCCAGAAATTCGAAGTTTTAATAACTTCGAGATGAAACAAGATTTTTATTATACTTTAGTATGAAATGCTATAGTAACATATAAGTCATGAAATTATACAGAAAATTTGAGAAAATATTAACTTAAAATCTGTGTCCAAGCACCTTTAATTAGGTCAGTACTTTGACATGACTTAATTAGGTCAAAACCTTGGCAGCAGGACGTAATTAGGTCAGTACTTTGACATTTGACTTAAATAGGTCAAAAGCTTGACAGCAGGACTTAATTAGGTCAGTACCTTCGCAGGGTCCTTCGTTCTTGACCTTGATATTCTGTCTACTCTGACATGCCTGTAGTTCTAACATACACCTATTGCTATACTGACGACCGTCCGTCCCACACACCTGGGCCATCCTGTCCTCGCACTTCTGGACACACCCACATCGTGGGATACCAGTATCTGGGTCGACGATACAGACCTGGGGCGATGTGCAGGCCAAATCCTTACATCTATCTGTAGGAGGAATAGCATAATGTCCATCAAAAGATGTGGTATGTTTATAGAAACACACCCATCTGTAGGAGGAATATCACAAACTAACACCAATCAAAAGGCGGAGAGTGTTATAATAGTAACACATCCATCTGTAGGAGGAATAGCATAAACTAATACCCATCTCTGCTATCTAGAAAGGCTAGATACATTATAGAGACACACTGACTGTAAGAAAAGGAGCACCAACCAATACCTATCTCCAATAAATCACCTCAGTACATTATAGAAATACATAAGAAAAAGAGCACCTACTAACATCAAGCTCTGTTACAGATACATAGAAGAAAGGCTGGATATGTTATAGGAACACACTGGGCACCTACTTAATACCTTAGTCTCTCTCTGATAAAGGCTGGATATGTTATAGGAACACACTGGGCACCCACTTAATACTTTAGTCTCTCTCTAATAAAGGCTGGATATGTTATAGGAACACACTGGGCACCCACTTAATACCTTAGTCTCTCTCTAATAAAGGCTGGATATGTTATAGGAACACAATTGGCACCCACTTAATACTTTAGTCTCTCTATAATAAAGGCTGGATATGTTAGCTACTTAATACCTTAGTCTCTCTCTAATCAAACATAAGACCTAGCAAAGCCCAAGTACATTTCAGAAATACATCCATCTGTAGTAAAAATAGCAGCGACTAATACCAAGCTATATCTACATTGAAAGCTTGATACATTTTAGAAACACTCAAATCTCTAAAATCTATTGTAGTCAACTAAGGCTCTATCAATCATCAAAACACTGACTGAACAACTTGTAGTGATAGTGTTTAACTGATGAGTATAGCATTGTAGACACACAGGAAGTAAAGTCTCTGGTTTTTGGAAAGTGATTATTCTTAATGTTTGTGCTGATGAACTTTATGCACCATGAAACTCAGTCTTTTTCATAATAAGGCTTTTTACAGTACGTGTGTTAAAGCACAAAACTCATGATACAATTACCATGCAGCCTGAGGTTTGCTCTTTCTTTAAATTTAATTCAGATCTCATGGTTTCAGATGGTGGTCATAGCGCATGTGATTCTACATCAGTTGGCAGAAACTGATTTTGAACAGAATATTTTGCTTTAAGAAAGCAGTTACCCAATAGTTTTCATCTGCAGACAGATATTGTGGCCAATAAAATATTTCTTGTGACCCTCAGATAGTTTAAAACAACTTCTTTGTTACGTACGTGGCAGTGTCTGTTAAACTTCTTGTCAAACAAAGGAAAGAAAATTCAATTACCACAAAAATACAACCCCCTCTGGAGACCGGCAGCTACATCAGAAAATCAATACACTTCACTTTTTATCCCCAAAAAAGCTCTGTTTCTCCATTTCCCTTGTAAATGACTTTAAGACTGACAGAGCGATCACAATTTGAACAAATTCTGAAAATTTATCTCCATGACAACTCACCTCTAGAGCAACACAGATCAATAACCAAAACTAGATTGAAGAAATCAGAAGACAAAATTCCTGCTGAGCGACAATACCTCTAATATCCATCTAATATCTATTTCCCTTTTTGAAATGACAATTATGTAATATCAAAACTGAATTGATTATTTACTTCATTATACTAGGCATTTACCATTTAACTACTTTTAAATCTTTCAAAATATCATCTTCCATTCTCATTACTGCAAACGTAGCTCTTACTTGGAAGAATTCCAAAGAAACGAGCATTTACCCCATACAAGTAATCCTTACCACATTTTCCGATTGTAAAAGTCATGTTTTTCTGAGTTTCACATGCAGCTTTCTGGAAGGAGCAGAGATTGGGGTAGTCCACATTGTTACTTCCACACACTGGTTCGTTATCCACGTTATCCCCGTAATCGTAACAATACTGCGGACAAACGCACACAGAAAGTCGACCATCGTCAGACGGAATACAACGGCCATAAAAATGACAAGTCTTATTTTGACAAGGATCTCTTTTCCCTTCTGGATAGACATAGCAACCCTGCACCCGAACGAATAAAGAGAAAAACAGAGTTCCATGTATTCCAAGTCTAGAGACGATCATTCTGAGAACTCTATGTCAACGATAAACAGAAATATAGAGTAGAAATTTAGTTCTGTATGGATGGTGCAGAGATGACCTCTCTGCTAGAGTCATCAAAACATGTAAGATGCACTGAGCTTGTCATCTCTAAGCTGCTAATGGAAAAAAAACTCCTCTCTCTCACTGTTCGGTATAAACCTTGATTAATCCATACAGAAAATTCAACTTGTTTTCCTCCGTTCAAAGACAGACACAGTCTGAAATATTAATGGTTGTATCATTAATAATCACAGTTCATCACATTCTGTGTTTTATTGAATTCTTGCAGCCAACACAAAAGTGCATCAAAGGTTTATATTTCACCCACATAAACTCTCTCTTTTCTACATTCAATTCCATAAAAATCTGGTGTTATTCTGTTAAGTAAGGGCCGCGCTTCATCACCATTAAGCTTTTGTCAGCACTAGTTTTGGTAGGAATGTATTTGGAACTCGATAAAGCTATCGTACAGTGCGGTCCCCATAGACCAGAATTTTGCCGACTCTTTAGACCTCCTATAATGTGATTTCTCACCTTACAGTGATGTCTGTCCGTGTTTCAAATCCTAAAGACAAAAACACTTCCTACTGCTGCTCCAATCTATCACTGTATGACAAAAAATTCCTCCTCCTTTCTGGAGCTACCCTGCTGATCAAATGGGGGATAAGTCCTGACTGGAATTTTTTTTTGGTAGATTGCCGTTAAAATCTCCTGGTAAAGCACTTTGTTTAAGTCTCCATCTTTTTTATTTTATTTGCAAGATGTGAATGCTTTAGGGTCAAATGTGAATCAAGTGATGGATTCTGAAAACTTGAGTCAATAATCCATATTAGAAGACAAAAATTTCCCCCCTCAATATTTTGATTTTGTGTTAGACTGTATTGAGCCTGCAGAGCTGATTGGTTTTTCCCGGAGATTGCCTTCAGAGCGGACTATACAATCTCTATTTGTCCACTAAATCAAATCAAGTGTTTATTATTTCTTAAAGCTTCTCTGGTCAATCAATTTTCAGCAGGGTAATTCATACGTCTTAACAATGCATTTAACTGAAATAACATGGCATTGCCTATACTTTTCAGGCAAACTTGCACAGTATCCTTGAGAACAATCAATATAAACGGCACATTTTTACTTATCACACCAATATGCAAAGAAAATGTTTTTAAAAGATATGCAGTTTTATTAGTATTACAAGAAATGTCCTGACCAAGTATAACATAACTATTAAGCAACTTCATGATGAAGAATATTCAGGGAAAGAATCCTGTAAATTTATTGGCCTCGTTTATTATGATCTAGTGTAACAAAGACAGCAACTTAATCATGTCCTCACTCAGTCATTACTAGAAAATTTCAGGGAGGAGTAAATATTAAATAGTTCTCTTAGAAGAGCAATTACAGTAATACTTGGTTATAGCAATGTTAATTATTAAAATCGTCATCCTAATTTGCTAAATGACATTGGGTAAATGGGTGAATTTTACCTTTATTCTTTGAAATACTTTTAAAAATATCATTTTTTTCTATATGTATTGCTTTACTTTTTCACCATATATCAGTTTTATTAATATTAGAACTGCATTGTTCTTCAGCTAGTTGCAATAATCTAGTTCTCTCCATTTCTTTCTATTGGTGGGTGGGGGTGGGGGAAGGGGTGGGTGGCTACAACGTACCCCAAAAGATCCCCATAATGGCGCAATTGAGGGAGTGTCTCACTACCCCACAGATTTTTTTGGCTAGAATTATCAGAAATCACTATTTTATTAACATGTCTTACCTGAACACAAAAAATGTTGTTTAAGACATAAATTGATCCAAAAATTCAATGAAAATTTTTCAATATATATATTGTTTATTTTTCAAGTATATCAACATCACAACTTGAATTGTCCGTCATCTTTACTGACCTTAATCGATTTTTATTTTGGGCAAGCCAATGAGAACTCGATCACAAGGGAGAGGATCTTCTGAACGAATTAACAGGAATCCAATATTTTAAGCATCATAAATACCGCTGTAAATGAACAAAATTCCACATCAAATGGTTTTTTGTAGATTTTAAAGTGAAACCACATGATAAAAAAAATTTATGTGCAACTATATTTACTTTTCAAGCTATTCTAAATTTCAAGTACAAGTCTCGGTATATCACATGAGACCTGTCATAGCCATTGATTTACAGGAAAACATGTAGCTACACTTCACTTTGTTAGCATATCAAGGGATAGGGTGATGATAATGAATAAATAATCCATCCTAGTCAAAGAAAGTCAAATCTTAAAAAGCCATTTATTTTGCCTGAAGACAATATAAAAACATAGGTAATCAAAGATTACGAAGCTCACCTCGACGAAGGTTATCTATAAGTAAGGCAAATCTCACATCATATTTTTTCTAGTTAGTGTACATCCCAAGATCAATATCTATACAAGTTTGGTTTAAGAAGGACTTATAATTACTTGGAAATAGACCTGCTCAAAAAACTTTAACCTGGTCACTCATCTGGAAAATCTAGGTCAGATTCAGCATCCGAAGCAAGTGTGTAGTGTTCATCCCTAGATGCATCATCCATGCAAGTTTGGTCCAGGTAGGGCGTATAGTTACTTGGGAATGGACCTGCTCCAAAAACTTTAACCTGGTCACTCATCTGGAAAATCTAGGTCAGATCCAGCATCCGAAGCAAGTGTGGTAGTGTCCATCCCTAGATGCATCATCCATGCAAGTTTGGTTCAGGTAGGGCTTATAGTTACTTGGGAAAGGATCTGCTCCAAAAACTTTAACCTGGTCACTCATCTGGAAAATCTAGGTCAGATTCAGCATCCGAAGCAAGTGTGGTAGTGTCCATCCCTAGATGCATCATCCATGCAAGTTTGGTTCAGGTAGGGCGTATAGTTACTTGGGAATGGACCTGCTCCAAAAACTTTAACCTGGTCACTCATCTGGAAAATCTAGGTTAGATTCAGCATCTGAAGCAAGTGTGGTAGTGTCCATCCCTATATGCATCATCCATGCAAGTTTGGTCCAGGTAGGGCGTATAGTTACTTGGGAATGGATCTGCTCCAAAAACTTTAACCTGGTCACTCATCTGGAAAAATCTAGGTCAGATCCAGCATCCGAAGCAAGTGTGGTAGTGTCCATCCCTATATGCATCATCCATGCAAGTTTGGTTCAGGTAGGGCGTATAGTTACTTGGGAATGGATCTGCTCCAAAAACTTTAACCTGGTCACTCATCTGGAAAATCTAGGTCAGATTCAGCATCCGAAGCAAGTGTGGTAGTGTCCATCCCTAGATGCATCATCCATGCAAATTTGGTTCAGGTAGGGCGTATAGTTACTTGGGAATGGACCTGCTCCAAAAACTTTAACCTGGTCACTCATCTGGAAAATCTAGATTAGATTCAGCATCCGAAGCAAGTGTGGTAGTGTCCATCCCTAGATGCATCATCCATGCAAGTTTGGTCCAGGTAGGGCTTATAGTTACTTGGGAATGGATCTGCTCCAAAAACTTTAACCTGGTCACTCATCTGGAAAATCTAGGTCAGATTCAGCATCCGAAGCAAGTGTGGTAGTGTCCATCCCTAGATGCATCTTCCATGCAAGTTTGGTCCAGGTAGGGCGTATAGTTACTTGGGAATGGACCTGCTCCAAAAACTTTAACCTGGTCACTCATCTGGAAAATCTAGGTTAGATTCAGCATCTGAAGCAAGTGTGGTAGTGTCCATCCCTATATGCATCATCCATGCAAGTTTGGTCCAGGTAGGGCGTATAGTTACTTGGGAATGGACCTGCTCCAAAAACTTTAACCTGGTCACTCATCTGGAAAAATCTAGGTCAGATCCAGCATCCGAAGCAAGTGTGGTAGTGTCCATCCCTATATGCATCATCCATGCAAGTTTGGTTCAGGTAGGGCGTATAGTTACTTGGGAATGGATCTGCTCCAAAAACTTTAACCTGGTCACTCATCTGGAAAATCTAGGTCAGATTCAGCATCCGAAGCAAGTGTGGTAGTGTCCATCCCTATATGCATCATCCATGCAAGTTTGGTTCAGGTGGGGCGTATAGTTCCTTGGGAATGGACCTGCTCCAAAAACTTTAACCTGGTCACTCATCTGGAAAATCTAGGTCAGATCCAGCATCCGAAGCAAGTGTGGCAGTGTCCATTCTAGATGCATCATCCATGCAAGTTTGGTCCAGGTAGGGCTTATAGTAACTTGGGAATGGGACTTGCTCCTAAAACTTTAACCGGGATGCCGACGCCAACGCCGGGGGTATAGCATAAGCTCATCTCGACTTCGTCAAGGTGAGCTAAAAAGTTTTTGCACTATTAAAATTCGATGGAATTGCAGCCCTTTCCTGAAAACATCAGATTTACAATATCAGAGAGAGCTACATTCAGCTATATATTTATCCTTTAGCAGCTATTCTTCCTTGTCTACTCGCTATATACAAGATTTTCATTAAACTACAGTTGAATCTCAAATACAATGGAGTCTCGTTATTACGGTGACGGTTTTATAAGATAGAACGCTTATTACGTTGTAAATTCAAAGCACAAAACCATTTCTTAACAAATCTATACAAAATAGAACTGTTTATTACGATGTCCTAAAATGCCGGGACTCGGTATTACGATGTAAAAAATTTGGCAAAAAAGATTTCCACCCTGTTTTTTTCAGTATTGATCAATAATTGACACTTAAGGAGCCTCTAAATAAACATTGAAACACCTGTTGCCTGACAGACCTATTAGCTGATTAGTGACGCTTGACTGATCACACTTTGACAAGTCAAGCGGGGTTTATAGAAGTGAAGCCGTTGTGTCAAAGCCATTGATAAACATTAAAGGGTGCATATCTATAGCTTCTACTTTATTTATTTCTGTAAATTTACTTTATTTTTTCATAGGTTGGTTACCAAAGACTAATTTATAAAATAAAACGTTCCTTTTAATTGTGTTGATGCATGTTAAACCCACTGTGTAATTACGTTTGCCGTTACACTGTGTTAATGGACAGCTTGGGTGTCAAACATTATTTTGATAAAAACTTAACCTCAGTCCAGTTTTAACAGCTTGGATAATGGCTTGGGCTAATTCACAAATGTTAATAGGAACATGGATCGTTAACTGCCAATTGAACTACAACGTATACCGATATAGCTTGTGTGTTATCAAATCTCATAAAACTCTGTTTTGAGTGAATTAAAGTTTGCTTTTTGATTTAAAATAAATCTAAATTTAAAAAAAATAAATAAATAAAAACGATGTTTTGGGTTGTCTTTTAAGTAATAAACGTCTGTTGTATGCGAAACCGTTTTTCAGTGAAATTTTTACGAATGCATTATCTAAGTACGCAGTGAAGTGAAAGTAAAAGATAATGGCGGGAATGAATGTACAAAGCCGATGTTTACTACAAAATATGAATGCTGCATTAGAAATAAAGCAAAACGAGTTCAACAGCATAAAGAAATATACATATACAAGATAAGTTGTCAATAAATTACAGTTTCAAAGTGTATAAACTAAGATATTTAAGGTAGAACGGAAGAAGACGGAATGGAAAAAATACACCCCATACACGGATAACATAAGCTTTCAAAACGATGTTTTAATGAATTTTATTGGGAACTTTTATTACGTTGCCCTCGATATTACGATGTTTTACCGTGACAAAATGAACATCGTAATAACGAGATCCCACTGTACCATGAATATAAAGAAGTGATTTGGTCATCCCAACCTCCTTTTCATGTTTTTTAACCTAGTTATCTCGAATTCTTGGATATCTCCAAGTCTAATCTCTGTCCCATGGAGTTCCATATAATGAGGTTCCATTGTATACCTTATATGGAATTCAATGGAACTGAGCTTGAACCCATATTAGAGACTTTGAGATAACTAGGTGAAGAAACATAGAGAAAAAGTGGTTGGGACTGCTAAATCATTTCCTCAATTCTTCTTCACTATTAGTAAGTATGTGTGAAATCAATGTAAATTTTCAGGATGCATGATATTTATACAGATTTACATTTTTTTTCATTTAGGTAGATTACCTGGATATATAATATTATGCATATTAATCTACAAGATGTGCGATATTTATGTATATATTTTATCATGCTGTACCTTTGAAATCTGGTGTTACAATTTACAGGAAGTATGATATTCATGTTCAGTTTTACTGAGTGTGGTATTTACATAGATTTCTAAGTGAAATGAACCACAGACAACTTTCTCCCCCCTGATTTTGCTGTTTCATTCTTTCAATCAATAGTCAACTGTACAATTATATATTAGTAATGAATACAATATCCCTGCCTCATCTCTTCCACACTTCAAAGACAAGTGTATCAAATTCAGCTAATCTCATGAGCCTCAAAGACATAAATAACTATTTTCTGCAATGTGCTCATAAAATATCCATTGAATTTTTCTATTAAAAGAATAGACAGCACACTCAATTCTCCGGAAGATTTCAAAGATACCACGTTATTGTAACAGTGATAGAGGAAAGACAAATCCTAGAGATTGCATTATCTCCCTTTACTTTTGTGAAATGTAAATCAATATATTCCGTCTCGTCTTTTACATTGTTGCAATACACAGAAACAAGCTTTTAAAGGATATTATTATACATAGGGGTACTTAAAACAGTAACCCAAAAAATAAAAGACTTGTGCACTATAAAGCATTTGAAATCAATACATTAAAATGTATAATCAAATATTAACAATTTAACATCAACTGAAATCAATGCAAATCATGCTAATATACAATGTACATGAGAAAAATGAACACATGAACTGCTACTTATAAATAGAATATTAATTTAATATGTGAATATGTTTCCTCTGTATCAAAATTCAAATGGGAATACATTATTGTATTTGTATTTAAACCCCCTCATACTTTGTACCAACCTTGTCCTTTGCTCAATTTTATGCCAAAATGATGAATTTCTAGTGTCAGTTACCCTACTTTCTCTCTTTAAGACTTTCCCTAAACAGTATTGTCTCAACTTTTCTATGTACAGTGGCTTGTTCATGGATTATTAGTAAAAAAATATTTATAAACAAGATGTATTTATGAAACACTGATGCCCCCTTATGGCACCTGACAAAACCAAAGTTAAACTTTTTTCAAATAGAGGTAAAAAACTCCAAGTCAAGATCACGAGGTCAAAATATTTGTACTCAGAGGTTTTGTCACAAGAATACATATGTGAGGCATGAAAACCTTAGCACCAACCACTTAAAAGCAAGATGCCCATGTGCCACATCGCTCACCTGAGCACTTTGGTTAGGGAAAAGCAGAAATCAGTATCGAGAAGGTAAAGTATATAAGGGGGTTTGAATCTTTGATTATAAAAATTTCATATAACAACTGCTACAGTAAAACATGCTTATAACGAAGTGCCATGGACAAATGATTTTGATTCATATTAAACATAATTCGTTATATACGTAAATATCACAATACAGTTTAAAGTAAAGGGGCATGAAAATCACTTCCCTGTAAGCATCAATTCATTATAAGCGTAATCGCTATATGTATGTGTTTCACTGTAGTTGTTTAGTAGATATTTTTTTTATGTATTCTGAGATTAAGCCCCTGTGCTGCATCCTCACCTTCTACACTCATTGACATTCTCTGTGTCATGTACTGTGCCTGGTTCTGGCAGTTGTCACTCTACACTTACTGTAATTGATTTGAGACATTCCTTGGTAGTTGTCAATCTACTTACTTGGTTTGCGACATTTCCCTGTGTAGGCCTTGTTGATACGCCTCCTTTCGTCACAGCTAGCTTTTTTGAGGTAACACAGGTTTTTGTAGGTGGTGCCATCTGTCCCGCAGACTGGCTGGTAATCTGATGGACAGCTATCTACACATTCACAATACGCCTTCTCCTCCCTCACAATACAATGAGCATGAAAAGGACAGAAGCTAAGATCACAAGGAGCTGAAATTAAAGCATTAAAGACGTGTATTACAATTTCATCACCAACAGTAATTAGACCCATGGGCCTCCACACCCGAGCCTAACAAGGAAATTTTCCTGAGTCATGTTATCATTATAACGATACCATACCACGAAGTCGAGTGTATAAGTGTATATCACAAACTCAAGTAATGTATGCACCCCAAATATTGGGGGGAAACCTTGAAAACAAGAGGCCCATAGGCCACAAAGCTCATCTGAGTCACTATGAACCTGCTGTTCTTCATTATTAGATTTCCCCTCCCCCCATGTATTTCTATGTAAACCTTTGATCACATGTTGTGGCCCCATCCTACCCGAAAAGTAATTATTCAATTATACCTGAATCTATGCTACCTGAGGATGTTTCCAAATGAATATGACTAACCATGGCTTCCCTGTTCACGAGAACAAGATTTTTTTCTTTTTATTCTTGTAAAAAAAAAACACTCTGACACTCACTGTTTAGCCCTGCTAGTTTCTCTTCAAAATAATTTTGTTTTTAATTTTTTATATATATATAGTGGACCTTCAGACATTAGGACACCAGAGAAATGAATGCTTCAGCTTTTGGACAATTTTTCTTGGGAATATTAATTATCCAGGTTCAATCAAGGGTGTACGGGGATTTTCCCCCAGGTTTTATTGAACCCAGGGTAGACACCCGTACACCCTTGATTGAACCTGGATAACAAATTTATTCCCTATATAACCAAATAAAATCTTTAAACCCAAGTCCAACCAAATGGCCTTCAGCTTTCATAAAGTGTGCGATTCGTTTTTTAGACTCATTTCTCAATGAACAAAATAATTTATATAGTCAATCCTATATAGTTTTCTTAATGTCCAAAAACCATTTTGATTTAGTGTATAGAGGATCCTTAAGTTTCACTTTTTTTTTGTCCTCTGGTTCTCGAGAAGAATTTATAACATTTTTCTTTATTTTTTTTAATCTCCCTCTTGAATAGGGTCTTGCCCTTTGTTTGCAAATATGACTCTCTCCACCTAAGTACAATTTGTGACAATGTTTGTTGAAAAACTGTAGATTCCGAAATATATGTGAGGAATTAATTATCTCATAATTTCGTGAGAACACCACTTGCAAAATAAATTTACTTCCTTTTATTTTTATGGTACTGAAATCAGTATAAAATCTCTTGATCTACCGTCCACGTGAATTATTGTTCTCATGATTTGATGTCAAAGAGCTATTTTGCTAAAGTACTCACTAAAAATACGGAATCTACAGTATCAGTCCCAGTCGTTCTACAGAAAAAGTAAAAAAATTGTTCCAAAATCTTTAACTGGTCAATCTTCTGGAAATTGTTGGATCTGAAACCTTACCAATACAAACAAAATTACTAGATGTATATAATAAATGCACCAAAATTGTTTCCCTGGGATGCAAAGGGTATTTCATATTTTTTAGCTACCCCATCTTTGTCAAGGTGGGCCAAAAATAGCTGCAAATTTTTTTGTTTTAATTGGAGACCTCTCCTGAAAAAATCAGATTTAAAAAATCGGAGAGGGCTACATTATTGCAGCTAGGCCAAAATTTTTTTTTCCTCAAATACTTTAAAACCTAGATTTTGCATCTCAAATATTGCAATATTTTCCAATGCATACATATTTTACCATTAATTCCCTTGAGGTTGACTAGAAATTGTAGGAACATATATTCAAGTCTGAAAGTATAAACATAGTAATCAAAGATTACTAAGCTCACTTCGAGGAATGTTATCTAAGAGTATGGCAAATTTCACATCATATTTTTTCCTAGTTAGTGTGCATCCCGAAATCATTATCCGTGCAAGTATGGTTTAAGCAGGACTTATAGTTACTTGGAAATGGACCTGCTCCAAAAACTTTAACCTGTTTACTAATCAAGAAAATGCCTGCCATTTCCAACATCCAAAGCAAGTCTGGAAGTGTCCATCCCCAGATGCATCAATCATATCAGGCCACATAACTATAGAGCTACTCCAAAAACATTTCCCTGGTCACTCATCTGGAAAATGTAGGTCAGATTCAGCATCCAAAGCTGGTCTGGAAGTGCCCATCTCTAGATACATCATCCATGCTAATTTGGTTAAAGTATTGCTAAAATTCACTCATCTAGAAAATAAAGGTCAGATCCAGCATCTGAAGCAGGTTGGGAAGTGTTTAGTTTTTGTTTAGTTTAGGCATTTAGTTACTTGGGAATGGACCTGCACAAAAAACTTTAACCTGATCACTTGTCTGGAAAACGGAGGCAAGATACAGCATCCAAAGCAAGTCTGGTAGTGTCCATCCCTAGATGCATCATCCAATGACATCCATGCAAGTTTGGTCCTGGTAGGACTTATAGTTATTTGGAAATAGACTTTCTCCTAAAACTTTAACCGGGACGCCAACACCGACGCCGGGGGTATAGCATAAGCTCATCTTGACTTCGTCGTGCATAAGGTGGGATTGGGTGAAACAAAGCATGATTTAATGGTTATAATCATTTGAGGTCTACTAAAGTCAAGGCTGTAGATTTCCTAGGACCTACTCAGCTGATCTAGAAAAACTCTGACGTAGGATCTAGAGTTTCTTGAAATGGACCTTGACTATTCATCTGCATCATCTCTCATCAAAGTTTCACTTTGGTCCTGACCAGATGAGTTTATACTGACTTGGTAAATGGACCTGTTCCCAAAACCTTTATTTAAACTGGGATGACATCATAAAGGTAAAGCATCAGCTTATCTCAGCTCCGTTGAACAAAGCTAGAAATCTTAGATAATGTCTTATATTCATTCAAAAATTCATCATTTCTGGTAATGACGAGTGAAAAAAGCAAAAATCTGGGATGTAATTGATGTATTGATATATTTGGTAAATGTAACAACTCACATAATTAGTGTCTGTTTTAGCAGGAATCCTTAAATTCAATTCATTGATCAAAAACACATTAATTTTACTATCAATAAACAGTTTTTTTTTTTTAAAGAAAAGATTGGGGGCACCTTGTATCTAGATAAGTTTGTAATTAGCCAATGACACAGCATTTTTGCCTTCTTAGCTAAATGTCACTTAATATCAAGGTATAATGAAATACAAAGATGAAAGGAATGTTAACCAATGTCAAGGATTCCTTCAACCTTTAAATCGAGAGTGACAGTTGTATTCATTATGTGCTATGGAACATCTCTCTTACATTAATTTAATGGAAATTGTCTTCCCAACAAAAAAATCACAATGAAAAATCAAGTCTCTGAAAAAACAGGAAATGAAATGGAGACTAACAAAAAAATACCGTAATATGAATATTGTACGTCATTTACATACAGATGCCGAAAAACAATTGCTTCAACTCACAAATCATTATCTGATCAATCCCAGTTCACAGAAGCTATTTAACCCACTCAGGATGAATTAAATGAAAAATATTAATAACTTTCTCTATACATTTATTTTTCTGTGTGCTCTCTGTAGCCATTAGCTGGAGGAAATCAGAAGGCCATGCTTGGATTGGGGGACCTGATTAGCTGGACGGACTTGATGCCCACAGCGATTGCCAATCACCAGGAATTAATTCCTGGAACACAAAACCAGAAACTGGACTGACCTATTATACAATAAAATCAGATCCACCGACAAAACATCAATTATCTTCTGTGTTTTAGGACCACAGGATGAGTCGACCCAATCTGAACATTAAATTTGAGACATAAGTCAGTAAGTTAATACAATTATTTGTTCCTTAAAATCCAAAAAACAAAAAGCAATTCAATACACATATATCCCCCCCACAAAAAGTTTCAGTTATTATTAAGTCCATCATGTAAATGATGTAATATATGACAAAGCAATGATCGAAATAAAAAAAAAACCCACTTAAAGAGGCTGGGGGGTTGTGGCCAATTTTAGACTATATTGATCTCCTTTAGAAGAAGAGCTCCATATGAAGATATAGAAAATGATCAAATTTTAAAACTAAAATTTTTGAAATTTTTCTTTGCCAAATGATAGTTGACAGCTTAAGATATCATATCTAAAAAATTAAGTTAAATCTGGTGGTTAATTTGTGGTTAATTTGTTGACCCCCCAGCCTCCTTAAGTTTAATGAAATTTAGCATAAGGCACCTTTCTCAATACATTTTTAAGCAGTCCTATATAGGTATAAATCTATAATATTTAAATTCTTGGCCATTATGCATACATGATATATACCAATTATAAATCTTTGTAACTCTGACTCCACATGCCGAGATGTCCAGCAATTGTTCAAGCACAGGAACATTTTATTAAGTGACAAGACTTCTAGGAAACTGGCCTCCAAAAGGTCTGGTCACTTGGTGGATCCATCCTGGGTTTTCAAATTTTGACCTCAGAGATGTCCCTAAGTCTATGTATTGATTGTTAAATACCTATGAATTGACACATACATGGATTACAATTACCTTAAAGACTTTAATGTTACAAATTGCAATACACGTCCTATGATCTACACTTACAAGGTACATGCTGCAACACTACAATAGAATCACATTAATCAATGTCTGTTTTAATTTGTACTAATTAAGTCAACTTAATGAATTCTTTGTTCCTTGTTTTCCACCTATGGAGCCACTGTCTATTAGTATGTCTTACAGAACTACATTTATTTGCTGCACTGTCCCTCTGGTTCTAAGATAGAGTGACATGAAAACTACAAAATGTCCTCAGTTTAGCTACATCTGATTTCCCAGAAAGCCAGGGTAATTGCAGTCCAGAGACAAGTGGATTAAACAAGTGGCTTTCTCATTTATCACTTGTTAATCTCTGGCAGATTCCTCATTAAGGAGATAATACTTTTTTCTGGTCAGGAGTATTACTTCACATCAGTTCACTGAAAGCTTGGCGTTATACAAGGACCCCCTCAGCTCATCAGCTTGTAATGGTTATGTGACAACTGATCACTCCTATCTGACAATACCTCCATCAACAGCAAGAGATTGCATAAACCCCAAAGATTT